CAGTGTGTTAATTATTGAAACTGTCCTAGCGATTTGATTTGAAACTGTCTCATTGCTATTTATCAAAAAATTATGAAAAAAAGTTTTATCATAAAGCACATCAATAAAACTGAAAGGATAAAAAGAAATTCCAAACAAAAGAAAGTTAGATGAAACAGTGTAGACAAATATAGCACAAGAAATCAAAATGATGAAAGCAGAAATTTGTGAGGAAGACAATAAACAAAAGGTACATCTACTTAACAAAATAAAACTGGTGATTCGGAAATGTTAACAAAATATGTAAACCTATAAATAACATAATTAAGGAACAAACGTAAGAACCATAGACAATCCCAGGTACACGCAATAAGAAATGTCAGGAGAGAAAGACTGTTGATGTAGACAAAAGCTTATATACGAAATAATTTTTGAGCATCTAAGAAAATAAACTGAAAAATATAGTTGAATAATTTCCTGAGGGAGATACAGGTAACTGAGAGAGTTAGCAGGGACCACTCACAAACACTACGAAGTCTAAGTAGGAATCTTCATAATTTAGCAAAGTTCAAGGGGCCCAACGTAATAGAGCTTGGTTTGTCCTATCTACTCAGGACCTACAGAGGGCAACTTATTTGTGAGGGCTGACAGTCTAATTTGCTCAGTCAAAATGTGGAACTCAGAAAATTGCTGATAGTCATCTCGGGAGGGCAATACAGGACATCATCTGACCAGCATAGGTGTGTAAGCAGGAGGTTCTGGAGGGAGGGCCTGTGGGGCTGACTGAGGCAGTGGCTATCTGGAACTAGTTCAGTTGACTGAAGTGGAGGAGTCAGAATTGGGGAGTGAAGCTAAGGGTGTTGGCAGCAGCTGCAGCAGCCAACGAGGGTGCCAAGGTGGAATTCTCAGGAAGAGTGTGCTTGTTTTTCCTTTGAAATGCAGGAAGTGGTTTGGTTTCATTTTTAACCCTAAAGGCCCTTTTTTTTCAGTCAGGGACTGTGGGTTTTGACTAATTCATTTCTACCCTGACTTCCTACATGTGGGTTCTCTATCCTTGAACAATGGTGCGATAGACAAAGGGTGGGTATCCCCAAGAGGCCATTCAGATGCCCTCCTGGCCACACCCCTAGAGGGGACATAGGCACAACTGCTTCTGTTATACCATATGTTGATCGCCATGGAACCACAGGTGAGGGCCAAATCAGCCGCCATGACCAGCGCCTTTCAGTCTTGGTGCACAGACAGAGCACGCTGTTGCTGACGCTGGCCTGGCCACTCCCACACATCAGCAGACACTCAGAGGTTACACGTTTCAACACCCCTTCCCTTGAGGGTTGCCTTAACCAACAAGAGTTAATCAAGCTCTTCTGCTCAAACTGAGCAGGACTGACAGACCCACTAGCTGGGGTGCCCTTGAGGATCTTACCGGAATCAGGCAGGCAGGTAGACAGCCAGATTGCATCCTCCTTCCTTTGGGGTCCGATATGAGCCACTGAAATGGGGAACCAGGAATCCTCTTCCAGTCCTCTGAGGGGACTCAAGAAACCTCAAGGGCATGCTGTCCTATCAGGACCTGGAGAGGCCCTACCTTGTCCTTGAGGGATGTGACTTGTGACCAAAGAGGTCAGCGTGGTTGGTCTTCCTGGCCAACACATCAGATGCAATCACAAGCAAACACCCAGGCGTGGGAGGCATTATTTATGTTGATGGACACTGATCGACCTCATTCCCAGAACATAGGCCCTGATCTCTGGTGGCCTAGGGCTTATATGAGATAAGCAGGTGTAAGTACTGAGGCAGAATGGCTTGTCAACTGGGGATTGGTTTAGACTTTGTGCACCACAGCGACCAGCCATTTCTGAGAGACAGAAACAACTGGAACTGGAATAGGAACTATTACCGAGGCAACTAAGAAACTGAAGTATGCTGGCTGGCAGGGGGAGGGGTATTTTCTGTTACATTAGGGTCTTTAATCAGTTCCTGGTTGCTGCTGCTGGCAATCCCAGGAGCATTGTGGATATCTCTTTTAGAGTATTAATTTACTGGCCATCTACTTTCATGCCTTTTCCTCCTTTGTTTAAAAAATATTTATTTATTTATGTATTTATTTGGTACAGGGCCTCGCTATGCAGCTCGGACTCATAGTTATCCTCCTGTCTCACCCTCCCCAGTGTTGGGATTACAGATTGCGCCATCATGCCTGGTTTCAGTGACTGGCATGGCATGCCTGGGGTCCCGGGGCCAGCATGGGATGTGGTACTGGAGATCGAACCTGGATCCTGTGCTTCCCAGGCAGGTGCCCAGCCCCCTTCTCCCTCTTTTGTTTTTTGTTTTTCTTTCTTTCTTTTCTTTCTTTTTCTTTTTTTCTCCCTCTTTTATAGGGTGTGGTAGGGAAATGAGAAGGGGGGACAGCAAGTAGAGGCAGGAGACCCTCAGTCAAAGGTATGTGTTTGCAGGAGCAAATCCACTCCAGGGCCAGTCTTTAGTTCTCTTTATTTCAACACTTGGCACCAACAGGTTAAGTAGTGCTAGGAATACACACCAAGAGGCCCAGGGAACGAGATGGCCAGGGAGCTAGACTCTGGGCTGTACAGGTGCCCATGGCTCCATGGGTCAGGAGCTTCCACAATGCTCAAGGAAGGAGCTGGTCACCCTTTGTGTGTGCACACAATAGCTGCAGTACCAACACATCGACCTGGGACACAGTCTCTCCCCTGGATGGGATTCCTGACTCAGCTGTAGCACAAATGGCTGTGTGTGTGTTTGCTCTGTAGCCCCCGTTTTCAACTCTACAGTACAAGTTACACAGATAAAGAGAAGCCCATGCCCAGCCCTAGACTAACTACGTTGGAATTTGGGGAGGGGTGGCTTCTGGGTGAGAAGTAAATGAGACGATGTGCAGCAGGGTAGGGGGCCAACTATGGTGTCTCGGGTTGGAGCAGGCCCTGCGGGCTGGGGTCTCTATCAGCCACCAAAGAGAGCTTTCAGATATGTAATTCACAGGCCAATGGTATGCAAATGTAAGAGAGTCTCTTGGCTGACCTCATATTATCTGTTCTTTGCTTTGAAAATTGTTATTTCTTTGGCATTTGTGTGAAAGTAGAATAAAGTGTCTCATCAAAATTGTCTCATATCTAAGGGCCCTTCAGATTTTAAGAAGAAACTGCAGCGCCCTGGTGTCAGGCCCTACTATGTGTTGTGTAGAGAAGGTCTACAAGTGATACTTGCATGTTTTTGTTAACAATGGGGTATATTACAGAGTCCTTGAGCTATGGGACATATCAAGAAATACAATTCAGGAGCTCGCAAGGATTGAATTATTTTAGATAAAGTTCTGTTGTATGTAGCTATAGTGCTTAATGTGAAATAAATATTTTATAAGTGTTTTAAGAACATGTAATATAGAAATAATTGCCCCTATAATTGAGGGAGGGGCATGACATAATCCCTGTAGAACTTCAACTTTCTTTATTACCTTGGGATGATGCAGCTCTTGAGCCCAAGGAGGTGGCTTTTGGGGTGCAGGTAACCCTGCATTTCACTAAGGAGTGATCCCCTTTAGGTAATAAACCCATTTAATTCCTGCCTCACTGCCTTCACGGGTAGGGCAGGTCACAGTCAGCTTAGTGGTGATGGGGGTTTTGCGGCCGGATGGGTTTCCTTCAAAGGAGACAGTGATGTTGTTGATCTTCTTGGGTCGCACAGAGTCTACAGCGCGGGCAGTAAAGGCGGGATTATCCACCATGATGGAGAAGCTGGCTGTTTGAAGGAAGATGTTCTTGAAGGGGATGATTATGTTGTATCCAGCTCGGATCATGTAGGGGCCCTGAGGTTTGGGGGGCAGAGCCATTCCAAAGAGGGGGATGGTATATTCCCCACCTAGCATCGATGTCAAGGTCAGGATGCCCTTGGTCTCACCCAGGTGGCTGGGCTCAAAGATGACTTCTATGCCAACTTCAGTGCCTCCCTGGGCTCCTGGGGGTGCATTGATGACTCTTTCTGTGTGGAAATCCGGACAGTCTATCTAAAAGGGAAATGAACAAAGTTGGCTCAGAGAGGACTCTAAAGAGCATCCCAGGAACTCAAAGTCTACCCCCGCCTCTTCAATCCGGGACAACAAGCTGGACAGGCTGCAAAGCTGTGTCCTTATAACCCTTAGTGTTCAGTCCCTTGCAGAGAAGGCGTTTGCTCAGTACTTCCCTGCTCTGCTACCAGGGGCCAGAGATGTTGTTTGTGCACCCTAAGACATACAGCGAGGTCATGTTGGTAAGGCTGCTCCCCCATATTTGGTTCTTCTTTCCTTGCATGAACCTGGAGGGTGGAACATTGTGGCTCCTTGTGGTTGGATGTGACTGCTTGTGGGCCATTAGTTTTGAGCAGAAGTGAAAGGTGTCACTTCTACCTTAGAGCATAAAATTGCCTGTCTGAGTCCTGTCAGTGTCTTTTCACTCTCCTGAATCTATAACTGAAAACATTTGAGATGGGGGTTGCTCTTCAGCCGGTTCTCCAAGTGACTGTCATAAGTACAGTTCCCTGTGGACTTTGTTCTTTTAATCTACCATGACCAGAAACCCCTAGCATAACCAAACTTCTCTGGACCAATACAACTGATCAGGAGCCTATGCCTCTTGCCTACAGCCCTCCCCCCACCCAGATTCTGCTAGGCATAGAACCAGTCCGTGCAGAGCCTACTTTTCTTAGTTCCTCTTGTGGATAAATACGGTCCTGCGAAGTTTTGTTCAGTGGAATATTGGTGGCAGTGAGGTATACAACGCCCACTCTTTCTCCTTGTACCCATCTGGAGGGCAGTGTAGTGATAAGCCCTGCTTGATGCAGACCAGAGTAACTCTCTAAAGAGCAGAGTTAGCAGGACAGAAGGGAGCTGTGGGCTGTCATTCTGACTCATACTGGGAATGCCTAGAGACTGTTACTTGTAACAGGAATAAACTTCTATTTTTTTTTGTTACTTTGTTTCCTTTTTTAGTACATAAACCTATATTCCAACAGATACAACAACAAGTAGACACCTACTCTGGGAAAGGGGCTAAGAAAATGGTTTTATCAATAATATTTGAAAGGGCTTCTAGCAGCCTGGTGGGGTGGGGTTGGATGCTGTGGTTTGAATGTCCCCACACAAAATACATGCTGAAATTAATCCCATAGCGAGGTATTTAGGAGGTCAGACATGTGGGACCTCATTTAAATGGTGTCTGAAGGGAGCTCTCACAAGTGGTTTGACCTACGAATGAATCTGATGGCTTAGCGGGTTATCTCCAGAGCGTCTGTTACAAAAGGCAGTTTGGTTTTTACCCCAGATGCACTGCCTCATCTGTGCCACCTGCTAGCCAGTAAGGGGACTTGCACCTCCATCGGGGACTACTCAGCCTCCTGGACTGTAGGTGGTAGAAGTCTTTATTCATTGTAAATTATTCAGCCTTTGATACTCACTTATGACAACGGAAAAGGGGCTAAGGCAGGGGTATTCTCTCCATTTATAGCTGGGGGAGCTTAAGGAAGCCATTTATACAAAAGTTGGTGATGAAGCCAGGATTCAGTGAGTATCCGTGTGATTCGGCATCCTGCTCTCTGACACCAGTTTACGCAGTCTCCCTTTATGGACCCCTGAGCACGATGTAGGAAGCAACACTCACGTCCATCCCTGCTTGATAAGATAAAGTCTGTAAAGAACGAACCAGGCCTAGTACGATTTGTGTCTAGCTGGGAGTTTCCAGGCTTAATTCAGGCCTCCAAGGCGGGGCTTACTATGATGACGAAGCACCTGGTTTTCTCTGTGCCCTAGTGTTTTTCTCCCATTATTTTTGAACCCAGATACCTGCAAATGAAGGACCTGCTCACCCTGCTGAAGTACTCTGTCTTCTGCCGCGTATAATTGACGAACTTCGCAATGATGCTTTGGCTGCCGCCGAGAACCGTCTGGAAGTGGACGGGCTTTTCAGGAGGCGCTGGCACAGCCTTCAAACTGAGCTCATACTGGTAGTAACCTAAATCGCTGTTGTACAAAGTTAGCTTCCCTAAGGTCTCACCAGCTTTCAGGGGCTGGAATTCAAATGAAAATGTGCCCTGGAGGAGAAGACGGAGGCTGTTAGATGTTGGAAGTCAGATCCACCCCTCTCACCAAAGGACCTGCCGGGGTGGATGGTAGAAAGTGCGCTTCATGCCCAGGCATGGTAGTGCACACCTGTCATCCAAACACCCTAGGAGGCTGAGGCAGGAGGACCTCAAGTTCATACCCAGCCTGGGAAGCTTAATGAGACCTTGTCTTATAATAAAAAATAAAAAAGGCTGGGATACAGCTCAATGCAAAGGTCCTGCCTGGTTCAATTCCCAGTATGGCACCAAACAAACAAACGAAACCAAGGGTTACATGTACAAATTTTGTCCTGTGCACTCTTTTTGTTCTTTTACTCTCTCTCTCTTAGACCTCTTGTGCTGGGGCAAGCTGAAAGCAGCTCTAGGGAAAGATCCACTTGTGTCTGAGGCCTCCTGCCAATAGCTAGTGAGGAGCCAGGCCTTTCCAGTAACCATACGCTTGGGTATGGCAGCAGATTAGGTAGCCCTGGTCACCTGGGGACCATGAGTGTCCTGGCTGACTGCCTGATTCCAGTCTGTTGAGAGACCTAGAACCAAACCTCCCAGCCAAAGCCTGCTCTTGGATTCCTGATCCTCAGAATTGTGAAGACAGAAAGTAGTTTGTTAATGGGTTGACAGATTACTAACATAACTAAAACATCCTATTCTTTCTTTCTCTTTCTTTCTTTCTTTCTTTCTTTCTTTTTTTTTTTTGAAACAAGCCCTCACTTTGTAGTGCAGGCTTACCTTGAATTCATTATGTATCCCAGATTGGCTTCGAATTTGCAATGATCTTCCTGCTTCAGCCTCTTAAATACTGGGATTACAGGCATCTGCCACTATGCCTGGCACTAATGCATTCTTAAAGTAATCTATAGGTTCAATGTAATTCAATTCATAATCCCAATTTTTACTTTTTTGTTCATTGAGGAACTTGACAAACTGATTTTAAAATTTATACAGAAAATTCCAACAGTCGAGAATAGCCACATCAGATGTGGTGGTAGAGGCCTGTAATCCCAGGAGGCTGAGGCAGGAGGATCTTTGTGAGTTCAAGACCAGCTTGGGCTATAAAGTGAGCTCAAGGCCAGCCTGAACTACATAGCAAGACCCTGTCTCAAAAAGACAAAAAGAAAAGAAAAGAAAACATCAACAAAAAAACCCCAAACCAAAAACCAAACCAAACCAAACCAAAACAAAACTCATATATGAACATACAAAGTTATGTTTTAAACATAAAGCTACAGCGATTGTTTCCTTTACCAAATAGCCAACCTTTACATAAGCATATATCAGTGATATACTGCGGAGAAGTGAAGAAAAGGTATAAGGTGAGACAGGGACTGTTTACATTGACTTATGAGTAAAAGAAAACCGGACTTCTCACATGGTGCCTTATGAACCCCTTCCTGATTTTGGGGGGGATCGTAGGAGCAGCTGAAGCATAGTTTGGAAACTCCTTAAATCCCCCTATCCTGGGATGAGGAAAAGCACAAAAGAAAGTGAGAAGGAAAAGAGGAAGACACATTTATGTGTGTTTGCGGGACAGCTTGGATGATCCCACTGCTGCCTCGCGTTGGCTATTGAAGGGAGCAGTGAATGCTTGAACTTATTTTTTCTTTTTCATTTCTTATAACTTTTCATGCCAACTTTGTGTGCTTATATCAGGTAATCTAAACAACTAACTTGAAGACAATATTATGCAACACTGTTGAATTCCTATTCCTTTTGTTTAGTGAAATTCTGTATCATTTCTAATTTTTAAATTATTTTTGATTCTCTTTTAAAAATTCTCCTATAAAACACATAAATTAACTAGGTTAACCACAAGGACTCACAACTGACATCTAAAGCAAAACCAAGTGGGCAGGTAACAAATACCTAAACCCCCTAAATGTGAGAAGGCAGCGCCAAACTGCTGATAGCCGTGAGGCCGGCGTGCTGTTGGGCCCTCTGTGGAGACGGAGAGACGGCAGCCTGTCACAGGATATCAGGTCTGTATCTTGTACAATGAATAATCACTAAGACAACAATATGCAATGTATTAATTATTGAAAATGTGTTCATGATTGGTTGTGAAACCATCTCATTGCTATTTGTTTCTCAATAAAAATATTTTTTAAAAAAAGAAAGAAAGAACGAAAAGAAACAGCAGCCCTGAGAGTCAGAGAACCTGGAAATCAGCCCTGAGCTGAAGATTCTCTTTTTTTTTTAGATTCACTAAATTTATTTTAAAAATCATAAGACGTTTCTTACAAAAGAGCATTACATTCTGCACACTGCTCTGAACAGATGCCAGGGACATGTGGACTATTGTTACTTTCCTCCCTGTCCCACCCCCCAAATGTTTATAGTGACCACACAAAGCAAGGTGTTCACAATAATTACATGGGGGGAAATTTTTTT